TGGATGCCGCTTATGCCAGCAGCCGTTTGGATATTCACCAGAACTACGGAGCCGCTGTAGTACCTACCGCCTTTGCCGTTGGACCATCTAAAATTGTGGCCTCCGCTCCATTAGCTGCTCCAGTAGCCACCCCTCTTGCCTACACTAACCTCCCTTTGGATGCAGCACATGCCAGCAGCCGTCTTGACATCCAACAGAACTATGGATCCGCAGTAGTCTCAGCTACCTTTGCCGCTACCCCTGATAAACTGGTTGCTCCAGTAGCGCCAGCTCTGTGGTAATTTAGTGATACTTACTTTCGAAAACTTAACATGGATGATTGAAAAATATATATGTATATACACAAATATAATGGTTAAAATGAATTATGTTTAATATTTTATCTTCCTAATTAATTAACGTTTCGCATTCTTGAGTCCAAGTCCCCAAAAAGTCCCTAGGCGCTTAGTTACTTCCCCCAATTATTTTTTCCTCATCTTCGACCATCACCAGCTGATGCCGCAATAGATGTTTTCAGAGCTAGAGACTCTTCATATGCTCTACTGATATGACCAGGCTAGTGGCTAGTCTCTGTCACATTACTCATCACATCGTCTTAACTTCTTCATTAGCCACTGAAATCAACACAGAACTTTTGGCAAGAATGAACCTTGAATATTTAGGTTTGCCGCTTGCTTTATCCTCTCAAAACCACAGCAAATGTTTTTTTTTGAGTACTTTGACATATTTTTTAATCATACGAAATTTATTGACATTAACCTTTCCTTTGTTCCGTTAAATGCTTTTATGTTATATTGATTTTTTTATCCATTTGTCTTACGGATTCGATTCTTTCGGTTGTGATTAATTTTATTATGTGCTGACTGTTCTCAAGATATATACATCTTCCAGATTGAAGTTTTATACATTCTATTAGTCTCTTTTGAGCGAGAGTCATCGCTCAGCAAGCATATTCGCCAGATTTGGCTCCCTGTTACTCTTTTTGTTTTCGAAACTGAAAAATCCGCTTCGGGGAACGCGCCACGAGGCCTTGGTCCAATATACAAAAATCAAATACCTCTTTCTATCCATACTTTCCAATGCGGTCAGGCAACGCTTTTGGAATCAAATATTCCACGTTGATATTAATAGTCGGAGATGGTTTTCCATAATACTCGTATGTGTTATTTGTTTGATATATTTTCCATGTTTGAACAGGTCTTGACTGAATTAAAAATTCGACCCTGTAACAAGCAGTCATTTCTCATAAAAAAGTGAGACTTGCTAATGATTAACTTCTTAATAGGAATATAAAAAGCCTTAATAGCAACTTATCTATCATATACCGTTAATAATCTTTTACGAAGATATTTTTAAATACTTTTTATTACATTTAATTTTATAAAGATATGACCAATGCTAGATTGGTTGTGAGTTCATATCCCAACTGCTCAAAATCGACGACTCAGTTTTAAGCGCCAAAACGTGATTATTACTGTTATGACTAATGGTTCGCGACTACCCCCACTCTACTCAATGAAATGTTTTCTGAAAATTGTGAAATTCATTCAACATTGGTAAGAGACAATGGAACTTTGCATTTGGGCGGAATATTTTGCACTAATGGGCATGGTCTAATTGTGCGAGGTAACGATAACATGACCTACGCGCATATTTATTAGTATGGAAACATTTAACAAAAGGAAAAAAACGCCAAAATTCACGCATCCATTTACCTCATATACATATATATATATATGTAAGCAAACAACTTTAAAAAAGTTAAAGTCCCTTAAAGCAGCAGTGCACACGGGCGTCAAAACTGCGCGTACGTGCCATGCATTAATAAGCGACCCCGAAGACCTAATGGCGCGTGGAACCACCAGAATGTCTTTCGTGTTATGCGTGGTCAGTGTTATGAGTCTCTTGTGTATTGTGTGTTTGTGTAAAAATGCAGGTGTTTGATCCAACGAAGAATGGGTATAAAAAGACGAAACCTTTAACTGATGGACATCATAAGTCAACTTGTCTTTACAGAAGCAACTTAAGGAATTTTACTTCAAGCAAAATGTTCAAGCACGTAAGTTTAATTTCATAACCCCTAGTGTGCATTGACAGAATTGGATTAATTTTGGATTACCTACAATAATTTCAGGTCATTGTTGTTCTGGCCGCCATTGCCTGCGCCGCCGCGAAGCCCAGTCTCTTGCACGCACCATTTGCCGCCGCACCACTCGCCTTTGCCGCACCAGCACCGATCATCACGGCCACCAGTAGCCAGGTTGTTGCAAGAACCCATAATGGAATTGCTGCCGCACCGATTGTTGCCGCTGCCCCCGTAGCAGCTCCTCTAGCCGCTGCGCCTTTGGCCGCTCCAATTGCACCGATTTCACCTTTAGTCCGTTATGCCGCCGCACCGTTCCCCGCATCTATTGCACCAGTAGCTCGCTACGCCGCCACCCCACTCGCTCGCTATGCAGCTGCTCCTCTCGCCTACACATCCCCCCTGACTGCACCCGCTCCTTTGGCGTACGCTCCCTCCTACGCGGCGCCCCTGCACTACGCAGCCGCACCAGCGCTATGGTAACAAAACACGACGACTCATTTTGCTTAAATTAATTTAAGAAAAGATAACCAAACAATTAAAAATAGTAATAAAACAGAATAGTCTATACAAAAGTTGCTCTGCAGTCCTTTATTTATTTATGTTGCATCATTGTGTTGCATTTTTTCTTGTTGCTGGAATCAAAAAGCTTTTTCACCAACCTATTTATTCTCCAAATGACTGCGATAAATAGTGGCTACATGAAAACCCGCCCGTACGCCCGAACGCCCGCAGTACTCGCGCACACGCACACAAGTTCAACTTTAATGCACCAACTTCAGCTGGCCCCTTGTAATATGCCATATTTCTCTTTGAGGCAACACGAGTCGAGAACTTAAAAAAGTAGAATAATCCACTACAAAAGTAACTGCTTTAAACCTTCTCAGGTATTCCTATTCTGTGTAATGGCAGCAAAACTGCGCAGCGCATCTGAGTTGGCTACGCAACAATATGACTCGGTACTCCTAGATACACACATAGACAGCAGTGTGTGTATGGGTGTATGATTTTCTTTGTTGTCGAGTCGCTGCCTGTTGCCCGTTGCCCGCTGTGCGCTTCTGC